ATGATAATGTGACTGTAGCTGTGAACATGACAGGATGTGTGATTACCTAGAAGAGCATCAGGACTGTTTGAGGCATATGATAGCTCTGTGATTAACATGATGATTCAGCCTCTATGGAGATAGACATATGACAAGTATGCTCATTTCTGACGTGGAGCTAATCTGAAGTAAACATTGAATACTGCTTTCTATTCCTCCATCTTGTGACGGTGTAACTCCCTCTCTTGGATATCAGCATGTGAAGGACACTGTTCAGGAACTAGTTGATGCTCTGTATGTGATGACTACTTCCATTCTGGAGAGGATCACAAATACATGGATCCTGAGGTTGAAGCTCAAGCCGGGGACCAGTGATTAGTAACATTTTTAAGTATTCAGAAAAAGTCCGAATTTTGAGATTAAGTCCGAATTTTGAGGGAAAAGTAAGAATTTGGAGAAAAAGTAAGAATTTTGAGATTGAGAAAAAGCCAGAATTTTGAGATTTTGAGAAAAAGTCAGAATTTTGAGAAAAAGTAGGATGTATGATTACTTAGAAGAACTGGTATTCCTCCATCTTGTGACTGTGTAACTCCCTCTCTTGTATATCAGCATGTGAAGGACACTGTTCAGGAACTAGTTGATGCTCTGTATGTGATGACTACTTCCATTCTGGAGAGGATCATAAATACATGGATCCTGATTATTGAAGCTCAAGCCGGTGACGAATGATATTTTTCTAAACGATTCTGATTCTGATAAATCTCTCTCTAAACTTCACTTTATTTAAGATGTTGTTGTTCTGACCGATCGGTGATGACGGGCTTCATGGGAGGAGTCGTCGCCACAGAGGTCAGATCTCCGTCGTCGTCCATCTCCTCGTCACTGGAGTTATGGATCAGGTCGGTTTCCTCCTCCTCTCCGTCTCCTCCGCCCTTCTTCCCCTTCTTCGGCCTGGCCAACCCATCGATCTCGTTTCCATAGTAACCTGACACAGCAGCACTTCGTTAGTGGTCACATCCTTACATTTTTCCTATCATTTTTTTATACATATTTTTATATATATTTGTATTCGGGATTGTGGGAAACGGTATTTCGATATCTCTGTCTCTACACACAAACTGAAAGATTGACAATAGAGTTGACTTTGAAATGTGTTGCAGCTTCAACTTCTGATGACAACTTGGTCATGTACAAAACCTTTTGTAGCTTGAATGCTAATCGAACTTTATACTAACTTATGCAATGATTGTCATATTTCTGTTTTAGTATATCATTTTTAATTTTGATGTTTTTATTTATGCATTTATTGCGGTTATATATTGTAGGACGCTGCAAATATTTTCACATGCTTTTCCTCATCTCAATCTTTACCATTAACTCCTCCATTAACTATTCCAAATATAATGAGTGACTATATTATTAACTGAGCATCTGTATATGAGGAGACTGAAAAAGAGTAAGATATTGAGTGAAACAAAAAATGGAGGGTACCTATAGTGAGCTCAAAGTTGATCGGCTTATCTCCGATCTTCCTGTCGATCATCGTGGCCTCCAGGAAAGACCCAAAGAGGAAAAACTCCTCAACCTTCCCGGTAGCGGTCTGTGAAATACAGAAACATAAAACAATTGTAAAAATGTGGGTAAATTCCTCACAAATCACATACTTATGTTCACACGTTCTGCGGTTGTGAGTGCCTTAACACGTCGGTAGAGGTCACGGGGTAGAAGTGTGCCGGGGTGAGTTTGGAAGTGGGCCGTTGATTGTGACACCTTTACACTCAATCTTAGCTACACACATCAAATCTCTCAAATCTGACATATTCACTCTAGCTTTCAAACTCTAACCAACACCCCCCCTCCCCCCACTTTACTAGCACTTGGATTAGGACTACTGTCTGTTTTTTTGTTTTCTTTGTACTGTTTTTGTTTCGGATTTTATGTAAAGCGGCTTTGAGCACCAGGAAAAGCGCTATAAAAATGAAATGTATTATTATTATTGTTGTATTATTACGTAGCGGGAGTAACAGGACCGATTGAGGATGCTCCGTTAACTGTAGCACTGAACAAATAAAAGTAATACATGTGGGTTTGAAAATAATACATTTTTATAGGGCGTATTGAGCATTGTGTAATAATTTGGAGCCGCACACAGTTGCTGCTTGCTAGCTAACAGCGTCCATCGTCACTTTTGCGGAGGGTACAGCAGATTTGTGTGAATTGAGACAACACGCTACCGGGTTCAAATTCCCCCACTACAAGTAAGAAACTATAGAGGAAAACATGTTGTGACGGCATTTCCACTTTCATGCCATATAAAGTAACATAGTGGTCTCTTGTAATACAAGCTGTCAGAGAGTGAGAACTGAATCCCTGAGGACTTTAGGATCCCACTGCTCTCAAATGAATTCTCTGCATTGTCCACCAACAAAAAGAAGCCCCATTGACACAAACTGTGTGTCAGGTGTGCTGAATTAGGACGATTAATAATTCACAGCAACAATGTTCCACCCCCTCCTCTCACCTCTGATATGTTGGACACCCCCTCCAGCTGCACGTCTGTGGAGCTGGTGATTTCGGGGGAAGAGGGGTCCAGGATCTCGACCCCCAGGCTGACGAGGAGTCGCGCCCTGAAGGACACGCCCTCCCCCAGACCCTCGTTCAGCTCCTGGTACTCGTCCATCAGGCTGTAGGTGCGAGTGGAGCCGTACATGTTCACCCAGGCCGGGCCCAGCGTGGGGAGGAAGCCTGGGAGACGAAGAATAGACAAGTCACAGCTGGTAACCACTTTCACCTGTTCTGGGAATGTCCATCCATAATCCCTCTTTGGACTCAGGTCCACAAGTATATGGTAAAAATACTTACTTACTGAAGCGATGTACCTGGGGAAAGTGGACTTCGATATAATGGATAATGACAATAAGTACATTTTTTACATTTTAAGGGTGGCAACCAAAAAATCTATAACGAGGAAGTGGATGAGCCGACAGAGGGAGAGTGGATGGACGTGATCCATGAGATATATGTAAAGGAAAAGTTGACATATGCACTGAGACTACAGAGTGGAAAGTTTGAGAAGAGGTGGAAGGGGATGGTTTAGTGATACCCAGAAGGCCAGATTTTATTTCGCTTAAAATAGGAGGATTGCTGAATGACTGATGGGATGTCTTTCGCGTTCTTATTTTTGTTTATGTATAAGTCTGTTTGTATTTCTCCGAGTGTTGAACCTATGCTTGCTAACCTGTAAAGAAAGGAAAACAAAAAGATAATGACCAAAAACAGTCACAGCTGGACTACCACATACATAGAAACAGTAATATCACTGATGTGCCTATAAATATAGCAAATGTTGTACAATTTACATTTTTGTATCGTTAAATATTGCCTCTCCTTAATGTCACTTTATTATTTATGTACTTGATATTGTTGTGGCCATTTTAAAACACCTTTCTTTCTATGAATGTGTACTTTTATTAACACATGCATATCTCTAAATGAAGCTCTTAAGCCATTCATTTTGTATTTGTCTTTCTTATCTGCACTGCCCCCTTTGCTGTGACAACGTAAATTGAAATGTGATATAAATAAGAATACAACAATTTGGAGAAAGAAGTAATTCAAGTAAATTCGAAATAAAGCAGAAAGGGAAAGCAAGACATAAAACTGGTGTGATCTGTAGGGTTAGTTTGGCATTAATAATCAGTCTGCAAAAAGAATGGAAAATTACCAAGCTAGTACCACTACATGTTTTTAAAGCTCGGTTGGATGCTACAAAATCAGATGCTGTTGGTACCTGTACATGTGGTTAAATATGTAAATTGTAATCCCTGTACATTTTGCTGTATGATGTCCTTTTGTTGTTCTGTTGTTTATGTCTTCTTGTGGAACCTACTGCTGCAGGTCTCCCTTGAAAAAGAGATCATTGATCTCAATGGGATTTTACCTGGATAAATAAAGGTTTTGAATCGAATTCTCTCTCTTTATACATAAATTAGCTAAAAGCTTACATTTATATTAATATTGGGCATCAGGATTGATCGAAGAGATGTTGAATATATGTTATTTACACTTTACGGTTGTTTTTGTTTGCAGAGCTGATTGCTGTTCCTTAAAAAAACCTCTAACTGTTTCAATATGTTTAATGTTCTGTTTTCTTGGCAATAGTCAAGACCACATCATTTCTGTTGAACTTGTATTGAGTAAATCCCAATCACTGAGGACTTGTAGAAACATTTTAAAAATAAAACATATTGCTCCACCTTTGTCTCCATCATTGGAAATATTCCTCAGGTCCAGGAAGTGCGTTCCTATCGCGACATCGTTCACTTTGTCCGAGTCGCGGATCTGGATCTTCATGCGCTTGCAGAGCGGAGGAAACATCTCGGTGAAAACGATCTGCTCGTTCCAGATCGGCTCGTAGCAGCTCTTCTGCACTGAGGTTTTCCCCTGGGGACACACGTTGATGTGTTAAAGTATGAACTCAGTCGGGCTGAGATTAAACAGATAGAAACACAGAGGGGAACCAGTTCTATCACCAAAAGAAAAAAGGTTGCTTGGTCTAATTACCACAATATTGTAATCTATTATTACTGTTACAGAGCGGTGCAGGGATGACGTATTGACGCGGAAGGAAGCTGCGGGTTCCCTCGACAAAAAAGCAACGGGATTTCTCCAGAGGGTTTTGGAAAATAGCTGGAAATAAGGTCTGTGGAAAATGAACCTGTTTGATGAATGCACGTTTTGTTCAGCCGGATAATCTCCACATGGCTACCCTACTTTGATACATTTCTAATCATAAATCTAATGGCCAGAAGCAAAACGCTAACATTATGCTATAAAGGAACTACAGCCGAGTCCAGCAGCACGACTTCAACGTCACGCCGACTTCAGATCCATATTCAAACATACAGATTCTAAATGGTACAAGTTGAAGCGTTTGTTTGAACAGTTTGCAGGAGGCAGGGACTCGCTTTCAAGCAGAACAGGGCAAACAAAGTTAGAGGAGTGTTTACGTGTTCGGCGTAATGACGTACAACGGCCTCCACAACTTCTGTAATCCTATTCAGCCACTTGGTAACAACCATCGTTTTTCAGACACGTGAACTCTTCAGAAATCACCAGTGGGGTCCTATAGTGTTTCTTGTGTATTTTCTGACCCATTTTCTTCATGTGCAGTGTATGGCAGTATAATCATTTTAATATTTGTGTCGTAGGTTGCGCTCCTCTGCGGCGTAGGCCTGGGCCCGGGTGGAACGCTGCCTGCCTTCAGTGTAGGGACTGCACGGTGTGACACTTTATTTTCTGTATGCTAAATAACTCACTGTTATTATTTTATAGAGATTGTGGTTTAAATATTGCATGCTTATGTTGTTTTGGTGTGTGGCTTTTCTTGTGTTTGTCCCTCACGATTAGCAGGCACTGCAACCCAGCGGACCGGGCCTGCCCAACTGAGGAGGGTTATTAACTTATATATGTATTGAATTGTATTTGCCATTTTTATACTGGACATGAATCGACATTTTAAACTGTTTCCAAACACTTATTAAATAAAGCTGTGTTATGTTTTTGGAATTCATGCCTCTGTCATAATTGGACCGATTAAGGGAAGCTTTAAACAAAGCGATCCACGACTTACATTTAGGGTCCACGGGTTCCTCCTGCCCCTTAGCAGGAGGTGGCGTTGTCAAGTACTAGCTTTACATGTGGCAACCTCAGTCACGGTTACCACATTTTGTGTCGTAGAACAAAACGTGATCCGTCTCTTCAATGTGTCTCAACCACAGACCTGATTTCCAGCTATTATCCAAAACCCTACGGAGAAATCCCATTGGCTCTGAGACGAGGGAACAGGAAGTGGAGAAATGCTGACTCACTTCCGGGTTTTAGGACTCGTCACTGCACCGCTCTACAGTATTACACCTGCAGGACTGTCCCTCACTATCTCACTTCTGTTATTGTATTAAGTTCATGAACATTGTATAAAATGCACATCAGAAAAAAACTGTTCCCTTATTGCAAATGTCTACTACTCCCTGTAACTGCAAGTCTCATTGCAACTGCTGAAATGTCCTCAACTGTCTTCTACATAAATAATTGAATGGTGTTTTTGAGTCCTTACAATACTCACTTTCTGCCCAGCAAACAGCACTTGGACATAAGGATCCACCAGGTCTTTGTTTTCTCCGATGAAGGCCTTCTTCACGTTGGCCATGATGCTGGTGTTCATCCGGGGGAGACCCTCGGCTCGGTAGATCTTCAGGTAATAACGAGCCCACTGTCGCTCCGCAGGAACCCCCTCTGGTATCAGGAGATTGCTGAGAGGAGAATAGGACGCGATGAATACAAAATCACAAAGTAATAAGAAACAAGATGCATCTGAATGAGAAAAAGTAATCCTAATTAAATGTAACTGTTAACAAAGTGGTATCCTGGGAATGGCATATAAATGTATGTGCGATAACAGATGTATCTTAGGAAGGGGTTTATGACAATACAGGAAAGACAGGGGGAAAGGAAGACATTTGCTCTGGGGGGGTTTCTGCAACACCCAGCTGTTCTTTGTAGGGTGTGAGTTTAGCTTATTGTGAAATGTTGTTGTGTTGTCATGTAAATTATCTTTGGTGTCTTCCTATAACAGAGTCTGTCACACTCAGAACAGGACGCACTCAGAAGGAGTCGTCATGCTTGCAAGCATTACAAATAAAATATCCTGAAAGACTTTATATCGATATTGTGTTTCTTTGCATATTTGCCTCATCCTTTTCTCACAGCAGCTGCTTTTAAGTTGCTACGACACACAATGAAGACTGAGTTACCCCTCGATGTCGTCCTCATCCGACTCGTTGACCTTGTGTGGAGTTTTGATGGTGTCTCCTTTGGCCACGACTGTAACGTCACACTTGATGTAGCCTTTGCACCCCGCTGAGATGTCCTCAGGGTCGGACAACAGCGCCCACTTGTGGTAGAACTGATGCTCTGCAGGGTACAAGACAAAAACACATTAATTTAAAGGTCCCCTATTATACTGTTTTTCATCAATATATTATAGGTCTCAGATATATACAGAGCCTGTCTCTGATTGGCTCCAAACACCAAACAGATCATTGCAGCATTACCCATAATCCCCTCTGTTTCAGCCCTGTTTCCAAAGTGCTGATTCTCTGTCTGTTACTTTAGATGAAAATAAGGAGCCCCTCCCCACGCCCCTCTGAGAGAGACTTGGTTACAAAGAACTCAATGGTGCTCTAGGAGGAGATTCAGGTGATAAGGGGGGGGGGTTACCTTGGTTGCTGATTGGCTAATGGTTACACAAGACAACACATCGTTATTGTAAGGGAAACTTCTGTGTAGCTATGCAGTGGGAATCACCGACTCAGGAAGGAGACACGGTAGAGCAGGAGCTTTGATGTCAAACACTGATGATTTATTTGGAGTTTCGGCCGGAGGATTCACATCACAAGTCACAGCAGTCACGTTCTGACTGCACGGTAGAGTTGCCACGTCAATTCTGAAGAACTCTACCCCAGACCCATGTATTTAGCTAGTTCTGAGAGCATCATCAACACGCTGCATAACAAGATAAAATCATAACACCTCTATCAGCTGACGCCAACAGGCAGGAACAGGGAGACAGAACACTGAGAGCACAGCAGCCAAGGTTACGAGGTGCGTGTGCTCAGTCAGGACAGTTTGAACTGATACACTGGGTCAAAGTTATGGGCTTTGGGAAATATTACCACAACAGTTATGACATCATAAAGTGACCAAAATCTGATCAGCTCATTTTCAGACAGGTTTTTATAGAAATGGATCAAAAAGAGAGAGAATCTTTGTTCCTGAAACTTTCAGAGTCTCTTTCCACAGAGGGGACACATGTTGATGTAGAAGAGACATGAAGAAGAGGGGACACATGTTGATGTAGAAGAGACATGAAGAAGAGGGGGACACATGTTGATGTAGAAGAGACATGAAGAAGAGGGGACACATGTTGATGTAGAAGAGACATGAAGAAGAGGGGACACATGTTGATGTAGAAGAGACATGAAGAAGAGGGGACACATGTTGATGAAGAAGAGACATGAGGAAGAGGGGACACATGTTGATGTAGAAGAGACATGAAGAAGAGGGGACACATGTTGATGTAAAAGAGACGTGAAGAAGAGGGGACACATGTTGATGTAGAAGAGACATGAAGAAGAGGGGACACATGTTGATGTAGAAGAGACATGAAGAAGAGGGGACACATGTTGATGTAGAAGAGACATGAAGAAGAGGGGACACATGTTGATGTAGAAGAGACATGAAGAAGAGGGGACACATGTTGATGTAGAAGAGACATGAAGAAGAGGGGACACATGTTGATGTAGAAGAGACATGAAGAAGAGGGGACACATGTTGATGTAGAAGAGACATGAAGAAGAGGGGACACATGTTGATGTAGAAGAGACATGAAGAAGAGGGGACACATGTTGATGTAGAAGAGACATGAAGAAGAGGGGACACATGT